AAAAAAAACATCAAAAACCATTCGTGAGATTATTACACTTTTAGAACGTATTTAAACAAAATTCGCCGTTTTGCATTGCATCAGAAACTCGCACCTTATGACAGAAAATCTTAAATCTTCCAGAGCGAAAGTATTGTATTTTAAGAAGTGTTATTTATTCTTTTCATAAGCATCATAAAGAGTCCCTTCCAAGTAAATATATTTTAAGAAATTTTAAAAATTTAATTTCTAACCTTCCAACTCAGAAGTAACAGAAATCTCAGCGGAATACTATTTACAGGAAATATTAGAAAAAACTGTCCATATCTTATTACAACTTTTAAATATTCACTGGAAAATAAGAACAAAACTATTTTGCAAGTCTGGTTTCGATGGCAGTGCTAAGTCTTTACAAACAAAAATTTCTCGCAAGGGATGTAAGGAGGACGGATGAATACTTCCTTCTGGTAGCTTCTGTACCACTCAAGTTGCTGGAGTCAATTCTCGACCATCTACTTTATTCTGTTGAAGATGCCAATTTAATTCGTGCAGGGGACTCCAAAATTAAAGAACAAATAAAAAAATTACTTCATTATAAGAACATTAAAAATGCCTCCGAGGTGGAACTTGAAAAGATTTTTACAATGTTTGATGGCAGTGTTAGTAATATTCTAAGTGAAACCCATTCAACAACTAAATGGGCTATTTGTGCACCTACTCCGAAACAGACCTTTTGATTCGGAAACACTTTGGTTTGGTTTATCAACACTTCATGCATGGATCCTTTTTTTTTTTGAATGCCTATTACATATTTCATACAGGTAAACATTTAAGTGTTGGCAAGTAAATACTAAAAAATACATGCAGCTGGAATTTAAATCTAAAATGTGCGTTTTGGATGACATGCCAAGACTTTTAATATTATTTTAAAGGTGATGTGTAGCGGTTAATGCGGCCACATTTAAAATTTGACTTAAGAAACGCGAGAGCTATACGTGCTGGTTTACATAAAATTATAATAAGCATTTACAAATATTATTCTAGTTTAAACGAAGAAAGTAAATTGGACACTAAGCTATGTGACGTTTGTCTTTTTAATATATGTTTTTCCTATTTTACGGAGGATTTTTTTTTTCGAAAATTCAGTCTAGTTAAATTTACAAGATCTGGAATTTGTTGTTTATTGCACAGTTTTTTTTTCCGAAATCTACTTTCAGCTATTCAAAAATCAAACATTTTCGCGAAGAATCTGTTTGAATCCAAGTTAGAAACTACGTTATTTTAGTTGCAGTGGATATTTAAAAAAAAAACACTTTTGGATTTAGTTTAGGTTCATTTAAAATACAGTTTAAAAACCTCTTTTCAAAAGGAGGGAGAGAATTTTGTCAGTAGCAGTATTCAATGAATAAATAATGTTAACAAAATTATTCCTAGTTTCTTTCTCTCGCTGGTGACTTACCCCTCGATCTGAGCTTGAATTTTGTATTGTTGCACGTTAAATAAATACACCTATTGTGTATCTTATTAAAATATTTTATTATTTTTTAATTTCCAACGATTTTCGGGAAACCTGGCGCGATTTATATTATACCGTCTATTAATACAAGTCACAGTTGTCCGCGTCGCGATAAAAATCGTTTCCTAATTACCGCGATACATCTCGAGAACCGTTTCGTTTAATTTAAACATTAAATTAACGACGCGTCGATTAAGAGCTCAAACACACGCACAAAACGTTTTACCTAAAAGGCCGCCGCGGAATCGATTAATATTTATCAACGTCCGTTCCTTGAAAATATCGACTCGATCGTCCCGTCCTAAGCGATTCGATAAACCCAAATAGAGCGTTATTATTTTCGATGTGTTATTGTACTTAGAGCAGAAGAGCAAGTTAAAATCGATAGTTTATCGATATTAAATTTATTTCTTTAAAGATCTCTCCATTAAAATTTAAAAAAAATATTTTTTTTTTGGTTAATATTAACAATTATTAAACTTCATCTAATGGGCATTGCTAACTTTTTATTATTATTTTGTGAATAAATCAGAACACATAACCATCTCTCTAATAATAAAAAAAATGATGAATAATCATTCATAAGTACCTAATGCAAAGCAATTGATAGCTTGCACGACTTCCAGTTTTTAGTTGTTTTTTTTTCAATAAAAAACATTTTTTAAATAATCGATTTTTTGTCGATAATTATTCAACTGTTGTTGGTCCGTAACTATTAGAACTCATTTCACCGGGCGAGGGGGATTGGACAGTTTCATCGCACTGGTTTCTGCATGGTAGCACTTGATTAAAACCGTACGGCCGTGTAACTATCAGCGGGTCGAGACATTTAGCGATGTAAATTACCTACACAATTAAAATTTGGTATCGATTACTGAACAAGCGCATAACATATACCAGCTGTCGCAATATGAGCAACGGGATACGGTATTAGCGACACGGCCGGTCTTAGAAATGAAAAAAAAGTATGATGTACTCATTGAGGGTAGTCTTAAATTAAATTCTCTTTTGCTCATAGCTGTTTGCTCCTAAATAAAAGACGGGACGATGTTGGAATATTTTTGTTAATAAAAACGCTTAGTTAGTAAGGGCGAACACGATTTGAACGTTTTTTTATATTTTAAAATATCTCCCCATCAAAACTGAGAGTTCCGAAGTTGATAGGAGGTACGGCGAAACGGTAGCACCTACGGGAAAACCGATTTCGGCATCGCGTTCGTGAGGAAAAATTATATTGGATTCGACCTCAAAAAATCCTCCTTTTGAGTTTTTCGGAATTTTGAGGGCGAGGGTAGGGTCGATCGAAACACGGTTTGCGGAGTTGGATTCCCGCGCTACGTCTATTGGTGAATAGTTCCCCCCCTCAAAATTGAGGAGGGTTTGAGGTTGGTGAGGTATTCGTTATCTATGGGACGGAGGAAAAAAATTCGATACCCTATACCAGTCTGTGGAGTTTTTTTTTAGGGCGTCTCCTCAAAGTTACTATCTCGGAGATTTTTGGGCAGAATCGGTTCAAATGTTGTGTTTTACTTTATTATATATTACCTAGTAAAAAAAATTAAATACAGAACCGACGTTCACAATTTGAACTTATGATTTCAGGGTTACATCTCGCCTCCTTCTCACTATACCTCATTTTATCAAAGATCGTTTTCTTGTAACTTTTTGCATACTAGATAAAAGCGTCCCTAGAGAATTTTAATGTTTGGATATCAATTAAAAAAAAAAAATACAAAGAGCACGCCTTGAATGATATATATATTCATTTTTTCTCAATTACTTCTGTTGTTCATTCAAAATCTAATCTTCGCATCATAAAACTGAGCTTTTATTTCAAGATGTATAATTTTGCGGACATATTTTGTTTTCCCTTTGTGACTCTACATACTTTTGGGACGGATCTTTGACCAGTTCTAAATTGTCGTCAGTGCCTTTTTGGGAATAATTACATATAATTTATATAAATATGTTTTTTGTGTAATTAACTTTCAAGAATACGAAATAAGCAAAACGAGTACATAACTTTGGAAGAAGAGCTGTCGAGAATATGGAAGAATTACACCTTCAATGTATTCAATGAAGATAGACCACCCCAACCAACTTGGCTAAGCTCCCAACCCGACTATATTAAAAGATGAGTTCGTCTATGCACTTACGGCTGCAAACATTAAAGTTATTAGATGATAAAAATGTGAAAATCTTGGTGGAGTTATTTAATTATATTTATGACGGAGGTCACATCCCTTCAAAATGGTTGCAGTCAACATTTATATCCACAGAGCATATCTTCTAATTGCTATAAACGATGCATGCGATCCACAAGAAGAAGTTCAAATCCTTCCTCTGTAATCAGTCTCTTTCTTTTAAGCTCCTTTGTAGAATGGTGTAGTGTTATGAATGGTTGCATGGTTATGTATGGCATGGAAACCCGGACCCTAAAAACATCGTCAATCAATAGGCTAGAGGTATTCGAAATGTGTTCCGAATTTCTACGGCCCATGTCTGACAGCGGCCGGCTCAGAACGGATTTAAAAAATCCAGAAATACTGTCTAAGATTCAATTTTTGGGATTAAACGTAGGCCTATTAGTCATAAACTGAAGGAAGTCCGATTGTTTACTATGAAAAATCGACAATATCTCCATAAATGCAATCTATATCACAAAATTATCAGATTGAAGTCTCCACGCCATCTTTTTCAAAAAAATCAGCTTTCGCACGGACGTTCACAATTTAAATGAAAGATTTGAAGGCCTGCTCACCCCTCCACGTCACATCTCTGGAATTTTTCAAAGATCCTTTACATATGACAAGGCTAAAACATTGAATCAGTCTTTTAAATTGCAAAACAATACCTTTTCCACACACCTGCTATCATTAAATATTTAAGTAATGTCTACTGTAAACTATTTCCAAAGTGTATGTCCCTCTATTTGCACAGATTGTAGAGGTATTTATATTTTTGTGTGTGTATCTTTCCTGCTTAGGGCTGCTACCTTCTTCTTAGGATAGGTTTAAAAACGGAGGCTCAAAATATATTATTTTGTGTCCTTTTCATTGTGAATAAATTATTATAAATATTATTATTAATAGTGTTCGCAATGAGGAGGTTCTCAGAAAAGCTAGCGCAAAGAGGTAGTCAAAAAAACATACTTAGAGGAGCAAAGTACAAAATGCCGCAGTAAATCCTAGGACAGATCGAGGGCTGGAAAGGTGTCCGTCGTAAGCAGATTTCCTGGTTGCGTAATATAAAACATTTGATAGGTATAAATAACACTGACGAGCTTTGTCACGCTGCTATCAGTAGAACCTTGTCTTTGGACAGTCGCCAACGCACTACGTGCAGGGCATGTTAAGAAGAAGAGAATTAATGTTTTGCTAATAAACTTTATTTGTTATTATTATTATATATATATATTGTTATTATTTCAACCACTGTCTAGAAGATCTAAATTCTAAACTATTGTTACGCATTTTGTTCGCAGTAATTTATCTCGGTTACTTACTTTCCAAAAGGGCGGTACACGTTCGAGAAAAAAAAAACCGCGCTTCCGATAAACGGCACTCACTACCCCGATGGCAAACCCTATATTTATAGTGGGTCACAGCGCGTCGCACCCTTTTCCTCCACCAGATCCCATTAGGTTCGTCCCGAACGAAAACCGACGCACCATTTCACAATAATAATAATAATAATAATAACGATTACGAGTGCCGCAAGCGGGGCAAACGCGAACGACCGCACCGACCACCGGAATTTCACCGCCAGCGTGTCGTTCCCCCCGTGCCGCGAGCGCGATTTCTCGTCTATAACCGAACGCAACAACACTCCGAGAATCGAACTTCCGACTCGAACCGACCCGAACGATTCACGGTCTCTCTTCGTCCGACGAAAAAAAACACCGATCACTCTAAGAGAAGCCACCCGCGATTATGGATTTGATTTTTTCGCGTGTTGAATATTAGTCGCCCGGAATCGCTCCGGACAAATAAGTACCGATTCTTACCCTACGCGACCATCGATACGACTGAACTTGCGATCGGGAGCCGCGCGAAGCTTTTTCCGAGCTTTCGGGCGAGGTTGCCGCGTGGACGTCCGGAAATCGATGACGGTGGATCGCCAGAGATCGCAGAAAGATGAAAAAAACATTTTTAACTCAATTTAGGGGTTAAAGCTTGATGCCGCATTTATTTTTCTTATAAAATTAATAATAATAATAATAATAATAATAATACCATAATAATAACAATATGATATGACAAAGTTGTGACAAAGCAATAATTTCATTTACATATCCAAGTCTATCCTTTGGATATTCCACTGAACCAAACGAAGACAAACAGTTTACCAATACTACGTTAATCCTGTAAAAAGGTTACCTATGGAAATTACTGTAATTATACACTGTGGAAATAAGTTACGGAAAAAACAAATTATATACATTTAAGCGACTAACGTTTTGGGCCCCTACGGTTAAGTGAATCATTTACTGCCGTTTCATATTCTTTTGTTTGGTTAGGAATTCGGAGACTATTTTCGTTATTTATGAGGGCATGATATTTTTATATTTTATTTTGAAATAATGAATGACATGTCAAAACTGGTTGGCAATTAAGTTGAAATACTTTACGGCGTTGTATGAAAATGAGTGCTGAAAGTTTGGTTAGTTTGGTATTATTTCTAATATTAATATTGTGGACAGTGTTACGAAATATTAAGCGATTTTTTTAAGGAAACTGGCGCATTAGAGTTATTTATTACTCTCCTCTACATCATTTTCTTAGAATTTACGTATAATAATATGCCTAAATAAATTTATTACATAAGGAGGCCCACCTCAAAAAATTGTTTTTTCGTTATTATAATTATAAATTATTGGGACATTTTTTGCCCTTTCCGTAATACCAGAGGTAAAAAAAAATTCTATAAAAAAAGATATTCCATATTATCGCAATCATATCGAATCATAATTAATTTATTGAAACTGTTATTTTTTGGATACTTTTGAGTTTAGCCTAAAGCCAGAGTTTTCGAAAATCTTATAAATACCAACAATATTTTTTTGAATCAATAGAATAGTTGCTAATTAGTAACGTTTTTTTTTTTTATTAAATACTTTTTAATAAATTAAATTAAAAAGTTTAAGTGGGGCGCCGTGCCGCACCCTCCCCTACAGGTTTCCGTTGCCCCACTTGATATTAAAATACCAATTTCAATTAAATATTCAACTCTACTTACCTACAGATTTTTTCGTTCTCTTTCCTTTGTCATATTCACTGAATTTTTGTTCTTATTATACGTAAGCTATGCCAAGTTTATAAGCATTCTTTCAAATTAGGCTTTTCTCGGTATCTGGTTACTTGCTTTCACGGCCGTTGTGCCTTTTTTTTTTTTGAGATCGCAATTATTTACTCGGTATACTTTATTATGCTTATTATTAAGGATTTTTTTTATCATCTGAATAAAACATAAAATTTCGTAAACTTAAACCAAAACCAAACTAACTAAAAAATATATCTACATAAAAAAAATTCAAAATCAGTCTGATTCAGAATGTTTTGGTCATACTATAACTAATACCAAATAACTATTTGTTCATGGTAAAATAATTAATGGTTTGGATTTTTTGAAAAATATTTATTAATTATACGACATTATTTGCACCATGCAAAATTTAAATATCTGCCAAGGGCAAAAATAAATATACTACTGGTAAATAATACTATCAGTGACAGAACCATAATATTGGCATAAACACGCCGTAACCAGAAATTGCGATAAGTACTTCAGGAATACATGTTATTTATACATTTATAAACGCGTTGCTCAACCTTTATCACAATATTTATTACAAAAATTGCACAAGAACTTTCACAATACTCCGACATTAATAGAACATTTATAATTAGCTCTACCCAGCAGCCAAGAGATTTATTTTATTATTTAGATGTAAACATTTTAAAAATTAAATATACTATTTTATACTCTGGCAATCAACTAAACACAGAAAATGCCCGAAAACTGTATTACAGAGAGCCTCATTAGTTTTAACATAAGCTTTAAAAATACTATGCTCTAGTATTATAAGTGTGAATGTCGCTCGCAATCTTCAATATTCTACTTAAAAGTGGGACATATGTATATGGCCTCCATGTATGTCAGTCTCTTATATGAAGAACCACATCCCGCAGTCAATTTTTGTATTTTCTTTATTTCTTTCTTTCTTTCTTTATGTATTTCTTGTTTATATTGTTTACATTGACCAATCTTCAAAATTCTACTTAAAAGTGGGACATCCAACTCTCTCTACATGGCCTCCACGTATGTCATATGAAAAGAGAACTTTCAATATTTTTTGCATACATTTAGAATTAGTCGCACCACAATTTACCCATACAGGAATGACATACCTTGGGTGGTGTGATTTTTGTTTGCAATTGGTTCATTAGTCTTATTTTTTTCTTTGAATATGATATCTAAATGATATATAGTGTTTTAATATATGTTCTTTTACTATTAAAGACCGTTAACGTCAATGCTGATGCGAAGTAACTTTAGCAAAAAAAGTCTATACAAAGTTTCGCGCTATTTTCTATTTATATGAATAACAGCGAGATGTGGCAACGCTGACTTACCGCTGGAACTGTGACGTTCCGTCTCTTTCGCCGTCGGTCGCTCTATCTCCGTCTATGCGGAGAGGTAGGTAGCCGAGAAATGTGTTTGACTTTCTTTCATGGCGGGGGCAAGATGATCGTATAACTGAATATTTCGGTGGGTAATGTACCCGAATCGACGTTGCCGGCTCGCACTATTTTTGCAGGATTGCCGGTACTACGCGCGAAAAGCATATCAAAATCTATCAATTAATTATTGCATTTATGTAGAAAACAATGTAAAAACGCAAAAAAACTTTCCTAAATTGAACGGGAAGTTTAAAACTCTGTCGCGCGCTTAGAAGATATTTTAGATCCGTAGTTGGCTTGACATTATTTTCATTATTTTTTGCTTACCGACGTTGTCAACTATATTACAAAAAAACCGTACATTAAATTCTATTTTTCGAAGAAAAAAAAAAACGATTTCCAGGAAATTGGCAACGTCGCCCAAGGTCGCGCCGGGCCCGCCGTTCCCTTGATCGCGTGCCAAAATTACAAAACGTTTGACACCTTTTATGAATATTTTTCGTGGGCCGGCAAAGTCGAACAAAAAAAGGGAGTACCGATGCAAATGAGTTCCGCGATTCGCTCCGGCTTCTCGTTGTTTTGATTAATGGCGAAACTAAATATGCCTAGGATTTCTGGACTCACCTTAACAACAGTTGGGAAGTGTAAATATCACCATCGGCATCTGGAAAGAGAAAAAAAATCTTTAGAACAACGCCGTCACCTAAAGCATTTCGATCGCGTTGGCAACAGTGCATATTTCAAGCTCGGCTATACACGTATATTCCAGCACAACAACAATGCATTCGCAATCGGTGAAATTTTGATTCTTATGAAATATAGAGTGACAAACCTACTAGATTATCCAAATAATCATTTAAATGAACCCTTTTCACTTCTACTTCAATGTTTGTAAAGTTTTTTTTTCTGCTCTTTCTTCGCAGGAAGTTGTGTCTCTTCATAATACTACACATTCATAAAGTACTTTTTGAAACACCTCGACTTCAAAACTGTTTTTATGTCATATTCTTTTGCTTTTGATGTACTCCTTTTATTCACAAGCACATCTATGGAAAGGGCAGACAGGAGTTTCCCTTTTTCTAATTTGTAAGTAAATTTGACGTTCGTTAAGAAACTTAACCCATTTTGTACCAGTGGTGCGTTAATGCACCACCTATTCTATGATTTTTTTTATCACATCCAGGAAATATTCTTGCACATCCATTTAGAAATTTTATTATTATCACTACTAAAGGACACAAAACCGTAGAAATCGTTAAATGGAAGAAAGGTCAGATTAAGTACACTCACCACAAATCTATATCCGATGAATTTAGATCATGTGAGGAATTAAAAAATAGGCTTTCTGGAATAACTCCGCTTGAAATATTTTTTATGTTATTTGATGACGAAGTGATTGATTTGATTTTAAATCTTACATTCCTTGACGTTTAAAAACTGATAAAACAATTACTCAAAGAAATCTTGCACCTGCCATAGATGAAGTGCGCTATTTACGTTTGTGATAAATGTAATGTTGTGCATTTACATACTTCATGCTTTGTAAAATATCACCAAAAATGAAACCGGGTGTTACCAGTGGTGCGCTCACGCACCATAAGATATTATGCGTTTTTTTGTATCAAATCAATCTGATTGTTGTATGTTTCGAGTTTTTATTTTTGACACATGTAATGTATTCCTAAGTGCAACAAAATAAATAATTTCAGAGCAAAAAAGTATTTTTTAATTTTTTTTTATGCTTGCGATAATATGGGTTAAGGAATCCATCGACTCCATTAAAGAGAGCCGTCAACATAACAAAGGCCGCGATCGTAGTATTTACGATATAATGGAAGACAACCATTTTTAATAATGTTTTGCGAACAAACATCAATTTTTCAAAATGTGCATGTCAAAACAATACAAAAAAAGAATTGTCTTACGATTATCACAACCTATAACATCTCACGTTAAACCTAATCTGAGAAGAAATTAAGAGATGAAAGAAAAGCCATTTTAGAAATAAATATGTCCTGAAGCAATGTGTCTTCACAACTATATATGGCGATAAAACATGTCTTTATAACAGTAAAAGATATACAGTTTGTCCCATTTAAGAAATGTACACCCTTGTGAAATTTTTGTTTAAAATTCAGTTTCGATTTTTTTTGTTGGATAGGCCTGTGAAAAATGCACTGGAACCTTGAATCAATTTTGAATATTTCTGTTATTTTAATCATTTAAAACCTTTCAATTAAAAAAATACAGAGTTGTAAAGCCTGTTCGGTTCATATCTAATCTCTAATCATACTTAATTTTAAGAAAATCGTTAGTGTCTTC